CCCTGGTGGAGACCGACATGCACCGGAAACAGGTCTGACTTACTGCCGGCAAAGCAAATCAACCTCCTGCTGCGGTCATACATAGAACGGACAGCCCTTAACAGAGGGCCACGGACTCCATACTGCCGGAGTACCCCCCACAGGGCCCCACAAAGGGACATGGTCAAACGCCTTCTCCAGATCCACCCGATGGGGGGTATATAGCTCATCCAGTGTACCGCGACTATAATAATTATAATAATACATTTTATCTCAAGCGTCTTTCAAAAACACTCAAGTCCACTGTACAGGTAAAAACAATAAGAGATAAAAGCAACATTGTCATAATTAAAAGAAAATAGGTCACATGGTTTTAAATACTTCCTCTGTTACCTGATCAACATGCAGCCGTAAAAAAAAACTCTCATAACAGAGTTGTACATCAGGTTTTCTCTATTAGAAAAAAAAAATTAACAAGTCTAGACAAGCATCAAGATGACACTTCATGAGAAAGGCAGTATTTTAATAGCTGGTGTTCTCACAGTAACACATATGCTATTAAAACGCCAGAATATTGTGTAAAGTCTATTTAATAGAGTGCCATAGAGCTGCCTGCCTAGCAGGGTTGGAACTTTCTTCTGGATTGCATTTTTTCCAGGATTTTTCCGGTCGGGAGAAACTGATTCTGGAAGAAACTTGGAAGGTCCAGTTTACTTGGAAGTTTTGTTTCTTTTGGTGAATATTTTGCTTTAAGCAAGCCCAAATCAAGTAATAAACTTGAGGTGGGGTTCAATATCTATAAACCGGGGTGGTTTGGGGACATGAATGCACATTTATGCACTAGTTTTGCACGCCACGTATCACTTTACTTGGATTTATTCACTTTAATTGGACTTTTCACTTTATTTGGATTTAGTTTTTACATATACATAGATATACGTACAGATATATATACAGAAGAGCTATATGTGTATATATATTTTATCTCTTTTTATTCTTATTTTGTGATTCTGAATAGCTGAAGAAATGAAAGAAAAAAAGCCAGCTGGTGTAATCTGAATATACACGTGACCAATAGTTACTCAATCATCTAGATTTGTATTACATGCACTTAATACATTATATGAATTCTTAAAATATTTCACTGTTTGTATTCTGTTAAAGAATTCTCCTTATGTAGCCTGGTGGATATAGTGAGTTGATTTTTCATTGCAACTATCCCAGTTCTACAAAATATGATCTATTATCCAGACTTTCTTCCAGTTTCTTCCATTTGTCTGGAAGAAACACGACCCTGCTGCCTAGATGTGTCTTTTGTCCAACAAAGAAAACATGATGAGACAACTTTGTTCTTAAAGATATACGCTTGATGTTTCTTTAACCAACTTATCCTCTTCTCCCTACAGCGTTTTTGACAGTACTTTGTCCTTTTACCTTTTTTTTTAAGGAGAGAATTTGCTGAGCTTCTAGAGAAATATGGCTCCAATGGCAGCACAGGATCAACTCGCAACTCCCCCATTCAGCAAGGTAGGCTTATGCCTAAAAGAAATTAGACAGCATCACCAGAATCCCAATAATAGAAGTTCAGCCCATTCATTTTAACTCAGAGGAACTTTTACCACTTTCTGCTTTATGCTTTGGAAATGATTAAGCCCAAAGGCGTGCTGCGCTCAGTTAACCTTAAAATGGCTTTGGACAAATGGACAACTGGAAACATCTGCTTTGAAAGAAGCAGTCAGCCAGTAAAGATTTCCTAAATAGGGCTTCAGTGCCTTAGCTTTGACCCGGGGCAGCCATGTTAAACATGTCGGGTTATGGTGACTATTTCTGAGTGATTCTGGGCTGATGCCAGAATCCATGCATGAAGCTCTAGAAGATCTATATAACTTTAGCTTATTGGTCAAATAAAATAAGCTATTGAGCTGTGGCACAAAGAGTTGGTCTAATTGGAACTTAGGAACTAGTTGCTATTGGATTATAGGAACTTTAGGTAGATATAAAAATAGAAGATGTTACTATTTAAGATCTGCTCTGAAAGTCCTGCATGTTAAACCTCCACACAAGTTTGTCTTTGATTAAGAGGACGAAAGCAGATGTCTAACCAATGTAGTATAAAATCAAACTCTGGAGGAGGTTTACATTAGTAAGCATGTGGGGTGTTATTCTCTACTTAGTGTCACTCAAGCCTAACAAATCCAGAACAAGGAGCCACATATCAATGGAAATGCTCTGCACTGATCTGTAGCTGTGAGAAACTGATAAGAGCTTATATTTAAGTCACTTATATTTAAGTCATTTACATGCTCCTCTCCATGTACATCTAATTAATATGCTACTCTCCTTTCAACCTCTCACTGAAGTTCCTTACTTCTATTTCTGTGTATAAAAAAGGCATGTTTGTTTTTTTCCATTTCTAAGGAGGTCGCCTCTTGGAAAGCACCTCATCTGGTTCGTCGTCCCGCTCTCAAAGTCCACTGCTACTCAGCCCTGCAGGCTCCCAGAATATGTACAATGGTGGGGCCATGATGCGCTCCCTAAGGTAAAATTCATTGACTTTTCTTCATTTCTGGACCAACAATGTTTCTAACATTACAGTCGCAAGACTACCTGATGGGAAAGCTGCTTTCAGAAGGTATCCAGAGATGTAATGATTGTTTTGTTTTAGTTTTTTGTTTTTGTGCGGGCAGCCTCTCCCTTTTCTGCTAGAAACTTCTCCCGTTTGAGTTTTGTTCTCATGAGTTTAGTTTTTTTTTCCATTTGTTAGTGTTATTATTCAGATGTTTTTGTTTTCTTATTAAGCTATTGTGCAGAAGTGGTTAAGCCCCCTTTGGTCACCTTGGGGCAGTCTTTGGTTTAAATGCTACATTTCAGAGAATTTTTTAAAACGTACCTTCTTGCTTGGTATTAACTAAGCATAATGGCATGAATATCACATGTTTCTTACATTAAATGGGGCAGATGGACCCAGTTTTAAGGCGGGACAGACAGTGGGAAGTTTCAAAATGTTTAATGACAAAGATAAACAGAATACGGGCTGCTGTGGATCTGCGGACATGCAGCGGCTGCTGGGGGAGGTGGGGCAACACCCATCGCTGGCACTCTGGTTGCGGGAGAAACACAGGTAAGTGACGGCGATATTCTGACATAAGATGATTATCCCTGTGAGTCACTTACCTGGTTTAACTGTTCAGTCCATCCTCTTGGGCGAGGCAGGATCCAGCCGATGGGCTGCCAATGTGAAGCGGCGCAGAGCCGTCCAGGGTGTTCCCAATGCTGCAACCCCAGTAAGCAGGCAGGAGACTAATCCAGGTCAGGGGAACAGTTCCTAACAGGACAGTTCTGAGATCCAGGAATCCATAGCCCAACTAGAGATTCCGCTCCGAACAGGAACTCACAGATCCAGGGTTCCAGGAATCCACGGAGCACCTTGGCAGGTTTAGAGTTCCACAAGCCCAGCAACGAGCTCAGACAGACACACTCAAATGGAGACAGGTGGACCCAGTGGTTGAGACAAACAGAGACAAGACATGGTACCAGGAGAAAATGCAGAACTTTAAACTGGCTACATCCAGTAGCCAGGATCACAGGACTTAAAACCGGCTCCCTCTGCTTGGCAACCAGAACGAGCTCAGCGGATAAGAGCCGGGACACGATCAAGAGACAGGAGACAAACACAACTACCCTCTCTACACACTGATCCCTGAGAGAAGGGACATGGACCGCGGTCATGTCTCGAACTGAAACTAATGGCAGAAACTACAACAGACAGGAATACTGATCTAGATCTAGAAGGAACAGGAGGATAAGATGAATGATAATTAGAGGGCAGGGAGGGTAGGGCAGGTGAATGAAGCTAGTAATTAGATCAGCTATCCTGACAGTTTCACTTTATCAGATTCTGTGCATTAAATACTGCATAAATAAACTGGCCTTATCTTTAGTGTAGAATAATATAAATTTTTGGCAAAGGGTTAAATTTTTGGGGGGGAGGGCAGTCAAAGTTCTTCTCATTGATTTTTAGTCACTGTAGGGTGAGTACAGATCGAACAGGTGAATAGAGAGAGGAATTTATATTTTATCCCTTAATCCCTAATTAACGCTTTGGAATTATGTTAATGGAACAAACTGGACACAATAGACCAAAGTGAAACTGCAAATAGGTGAGGCGGAGACCCAAATAGACTGATGAAAAATGTTGCCATCAAGCTGGACTTCAGTTCGGTTTATTGAAGCTAGGTTTATACTCCCCACTTTGAAAAAGGGCACGAGGATAGGTGCACAAAAAGTGATGCATAATGCTGTCCCCGACCCCGAACACAGACCCCCACTGCTACCTTTGCACGTCGTGTACCTCAGATTTTTTTAACTTGGCAACAGCTACCTCATTCCAAATTGTTGGATTCAAGGGTGCCTTCCCCGAACAAGTCTGCCTGAACTGACATCTAATTGGCCGGTTTTGTTAAATGCTGTATTTTTGCTGCTTATTCTGTGAACAAAAATAGTATCCACAAAATACTGGCATACTGCAAGGGGGAGGTTTTTTGGCCAAGCCTGTGGATGCAAACATTTTTTGTTTGTTTTCATCAGCTAGAGCAGTGATTCCCAAATGGGGATACTCGTTCCCCTTATGGTTCGCGAGTGCATTGCAAGGGCTACATGAAAATATTTTATTTCTTAGGTTGTAAAAAAAATAGGGCTGTTTTTTTTTCTTTCAGTTCACCTTAGGCTTCAATACACATCCAAACCAAGCAGAGGAACAGACTGCATGTAGAGAAAAGCCTGGTATCATCTGTTTTTCACACTGGGCTGTCGGAGCTCATTAGCAGTTTAGGTGTCTTGATGAAAACAAAGTAAAAGTATTTAAGTCAGTGTGACTATAATTTTTGTTCCCAATTCATCAAGTTTAAATAAAATTATAAGGGAGTTACTCAGAGGAGCTCCACTTTTATAAATACAACTTTGTAATATTATTTTATTTTGTATTTATCTCGATTCCTAACTAATATGCTGGTGAAGATTCTCAGTCATCCAGGTCACTTTCATTCCAAAAAAAGTTTAAAAAACAATCCACTGGACTTTGTTTCCAAGTTTGAGGACATTTCGCTTCCCATCCAGGAAACTTTTAATTCAAAATATCAGAATCAGCGTTGAGTTCTAAGCTTTATATAGTAGCCCAAAAACTTGTTCTGGCTTAGAAAACATGAAAATTGAACCAGAAGAAGGAGTCCGTCCCTTAGGAATGGCGAGTCGTTTCTTACCACCTTCCAAGTAACATATTATGTATTTTTATTTAAGATGGAAATAATAAAATGCCTAAGAATTAAATTTCTAAGTTAAAGGATTAAGTAAAATAGTTTTTATTTTATAATCAGTTATTGTATTTTCCACTTTTGGACAATCATCAACCATTTTTACAGTGCTGGGGGGGGGGGGTACCCATGATAAGAAAAAATGCCCAAAGGGGTACACAAGTGAAAAAAGTTGGGAAACACTGACCTAGAGCATAAATTAAGACTATAACAGCTTCTGACAGTATGTAAAGCACTCGGCTTTTATCATTTAAACAATGTTTTATTTGATCTGTTATTTAAAAAAATAACAGATAAAAACTGTAAAATATTAATATAACATTCTGTTTGTAATGTACCGTCTTATTTTACCTCTTTAGCCCACTGCTTTGATGTGCATTGACTATCCTTCAATCATCCTATATTCTAGAAAATGGAATGCTGTTTCTTCTCTTGTTTCTGCTTGTCATGTTTAGGACTGCCC